ATGTGAACAACATAAAAAATATTTGTATTCTAGAGGACTTATGTTGACAAATCAAGAAATTACAAAATTACATTGTCCATCAGCATATAAATAAGTAGTATTAAACAATTCCTTATACAAACAGTATATCAAAAAAAATGACGAAGTTTTATTATACACCTATATTCAATCATTATCCACCACTACATGATGAGATTACCACAATGCTGCAAAATTCAATTCAAAGAAAATGGGAAGTATAAGTTGTGGGTCACCCTGGGTCCGACCAGACCCCAACACAAATATATCCTTATAGTAGGATATAGATTAAAAATCCAATAAGCAGGTTATTTACAATAATTATCGAACAAAGCTTCTATAAAATAGGGCATTATAAGCAGTCATCACAGAAAACATTTGTTGAGGAATGAGATGTGCAAACACACTTACCACAATGATATTATAAACAAACAGATAAGATGATACTGTACTACTTTGATGTATTGTCTTATATAACAGCCTATATAGTGAAATAAACATTTAGAAATTTGTTTTGTATTACAGGGAAATCTACATGTATAGTGATGGTCAATGACGGTATGGGGTCCACGTGGACCCCAGATAAATATCAGATTATAGCTACATACTCTGTCTGCCTGTTTTGAAAACAATAGTGTTATATTGATCCAGGGTTTCTGCTTGACAATTACATGAATTGATATAAATTTGTAATGATTATGTAAAAAAGATATACAATCAAGAAATTCGTTGGGTTCCAGCTGGACCCCAGGTATGCTAATGAGGGTTAAAAATTAATATTTCAAGAAAAAATATTACTAAAAAAAGATTTTTACTTACATGTTCTTTTATACATTTTAACATGCTAAAACATGTTAAAAACATATTGTATTTTAAACTATCCCTTCAGAAAGATTAAAACTTAAGATGTTTTGAGAATATAGCTGTTTTTAATGGAGACACTCAGAAATAGGTTCTCAGCATTTTACAACACCTACACTAACAAGATACACAAATGTTTATATCAAGAATCTTATTGTCATTTTGTATACTAGATTCTCCAAGAACATAATTTGTATCTTTTATAACTTCTACCAGCACTGTTCATTATTCAAGATTTATTATAATAACTAAATAGTAATGAAAGATACAATATATTATAATTACCAGACAAAAATACTTTTTTTTGTTTAGAAACAGACTTTAACGTTACAAGTTCAACCAAAAAGTAATTTCAAATTAAATGCCTTACTTGCTTGTTTGAAACAGACATTAGATTCTAGAGCTGAAGCCTTTGCTGAGGAGTAGGTTATATTGAATACTATTACTAACTGCAGTCATGAGCTCTTGTTCCTTATGCATAATTTTACATATCTGAAGCAAGCTGAAGTTCAGTATGAAGTTTGTGCAATAAAAAAATTATTAAATATGTGACAACCTTTAGGTTCACATTTGTTTTACACTAGAATTAAACTACAGATGTAAATCTAAATTATTTATTCAAGAAGAGTGGAATGGAAAAAGGATTGCAATTACCATAAAACAAAATTTGCATACAATTTACATTTTCATGTCAATGTTTACTGCATCCACATTTTTTCATTGATTATATTCCTGCCAATGACTTCAGTTTCTACATATTAATTAACATTTACATATTTCTTTCTTTTTAATAGCTGTTCTTACAGTTTAAAATATAAATTTATGTTTCATCTATAGATAATGTCTTGCATATTTAGCAATCATGAAGGATTGTCTCTAAAGTATTCCGATATTAATTTTCTACATCATTTATTTTTGTACTTCCACACAGTGAAATGCATTAACTCTGTTGGTCTTGTAAAATGTTTGTTTTAATTTGCAAATAAAGGTACATGGTTCACACACTAATAATGTCTCTTTTCAGGGATATCTATTGGATGCAGGATTGGTGTTATGAGTTTTCAAGAGATTTTTATATTACTGCATTAATGTACTGAAAAAATTTGGATCTGTTATTGTGCAACAACAGTCCAGTCACCTACAGTTGGTAACTTTTTGGATCATGCAAACTTTGAAATGTGTAGTTGAGTGAAATTGCACATTTAACATAAGTTATTCATCAAGGTATTTAATAAAGTTTAAAGATGCAAACCATCTTATCCAGTGTTTGCAAAGTTCTTCTACTGCTGGATTTCATGCAAACTACAGATCATAGGTTACTCATTACAATGATGAATGGAAAGTACCAGCTTTCATGATGCCTTTGGTGTTAAAATTAATGTGAATAACAAAATAAAAACCATTATGTAGAGTTATCAGTACAGTTCATTTTAAAAGGCAAGGTTTTAGATTAGCTATTACCTGGCTTGATCATTTTTCTATTACTAAGCTACAAAAGTCATGACCTTTAATATTTCAAGTATTTTGGAGAATGATGCTTTGTCAACATGATAATTATGCTATAATAACATTGATACACAGTATTAATTTGAGACAAATAATATCCACAACTATACTGACTAGCCCAGAATTCAACTGGGTCATTATGGGATGTTTTAGAGCACCATTATAGATACAGGTAATGAATCTTTACAACACTTAAAATCGCTCTAGAAAGTAAATGGCCATTTTTTCATTATCTGTGGATAAACAGTTGATAGTAACAGTACAAGTTGTGATTAGCACAAGAAGTTGGGCAATAAAATGTGGCCTAGCTTAGTGCCGAACATAACATTCTGTTTCTCAAAGTGTGCTGACCCAGTACTGTTAGTAGTAAAGGGGAGGGTATTCCTTAGCAACGAACTAACCTATGAACTATTTATTGTTGAAGTTAGACAAAACTTGAATTAAAAGATGAATCACAGTTTAAACATATTATTTTCTTAATTATATTAAGCCCTTTGGAGCAAAAATGGAAGCACTTTTTTGTTATAATTTCATTAAAATCTTACCTTGACAAAACAAAAGCATACAAAGTCCTCTCCTAAATGTTTGTGTTCAACACAATAAAATATACTGAATGGGAAAACTTGAAGTTTCTGAAAAAAAAAAAGGATATATATATATATATATTTTTAAATAACTATAATAAAATGTTTTATGTCCAAGCATCACCCTTTTACACTTAATAAAATAAATTACCTATTACACTGTGTCTGAAGTTATCATATTCCTAGGCCAGAATATAGGCTAGTATAGAATTCTAAAAAATGCAAAATATTGACATTGCTTCCAAATATCAATAATATCATGGGGAATTGTTTTGAATTATTTATATTAAATGTGATTTTACTTCAAGATATTTTAGCACTTATAGCTTTTCATTACTCAAACTTAACAACTCAAAATGTTACCATTTTACATCACAATATGAATTTCTCTTGGTAGTAGTTCCCCGGTGGGAGAGCAGTAAGTTTACAGACCCACAATGCTAAAATTTGGGGTTTGATTCTCCATGGTGAACACAGCAGATAGTCCAATGTGGCTTTGCTCTTGCTAATAAGGCACTTTTTAAGAAACTAATTCTACAGCACTTGCACAACATATAACTAAAATAAAGAATCACATTCCTTCCCTTGAATGAAAAGGAATTGTAAACAATATTGAATGTGGATGTGTGAGAAGCTATGCTAGAAAAATATGTTGATCTGTAACTACCTGAGTTAAAGAACATAAGTACAAAATAAGATCTGGAAATAAAAAAAGTCAGCTGTGGTGACACACACACACACACACATATATATATATATATACATATTATATGAGAATGCAAACAAAAAAAAATTCTATATTTTCTTACACGAAAGCAATTACTCTAAAAGACAATAAGCATTCCAGAACTATATAACACCGAATTTGTGGATTATATGCACTAATAAGAATGATACAAATTGTTAATTCAAGTTCATAGCCCAGTAAAATAAGTGTTGATATACTTGTTAAAAACATGTTAATTTTTAGGCTATATCTAAATAAATAAATAACACTTATGTACTGTACATATAAAAGACTCCAAGGTTAAATTTTCAATTTTTGAAAAGCTCAGAAAAAAACAAAACAACAGACTTAAGCCATCAGTGGGAATCTCATTAATCCATTCATGTGCATCACTAATTAGATGATGAGGCATTTGGCTACCTTAAAAGAGTCATAGTTAGATTTTGTTACATATATGTACCAACCTCATTCCTGTATAGCCACTTTGCAAATTGATAGTCCTTTGCTCCTTGCTCTTCATCAAGATTCAGGCTTATCTTGGCACCTAGAAAATACTTTTTGATTATATGTTGTTTTTAACCTCATATATTACTCTCTTTTATTTTATTTTCCAATATTTTTTGTTAAAACCACAATTACATAAATTTATGCTACAGTAAAGCTTATAATGTTTGAGAAAGCTCAGAAGATTAAATATAACGTTTTTTTTGCTATTAACATTTACAGAAGATGGAAAAACAGTGACAGAGTTGTCTGCTACATATAATTCAAGAAATAATAAAATTTTCTAAAAAATCTTTTTCTTGTGAATTCAATGGATCGGCATGATCAAAATACCTAATTTTGAGAAATCAGCAACAATGAAATATCCCCCTTCTGGAATAACAGGTGTCATTCCTACAGAAGATAAACATTTAGCCATGCAATCTCGTTTCAGTTCTAACCTCTCTACACGATCTTGCAAGTAGCTGTCTGGTGTTTCCTTACGTTCAATTTCAATTTCAAGCCCAATTCCTATGGCTTCCTTGAATAAAATTCCCAGGAACATAAATTGTAAACAATCAAAAATTATTAATAACATAATGAACATATATGGTATCACTAATGTATCACTAATGTTACGATGTAATGAACAGAGTAGTTGTGACATTAAACCAAAAATGTAAAACAAAAATAAATGTTTTTTTAATTCAACCTAATTTTTATTATCTAGAACATTTGGTGAAAGTTAAGAATTCTGAAGCAAAAGTAATTTTGTAAAAGATACAATTAGGTCAGGTTAATTATTCAATCTTTGTATTTTGTTGTACTTTACAGCAAAACTATGTTCATAAAAGTAATCTATATCATATTTAACTCTTTACATATCAATTATAAGTTATAATGCTGATAGTCCTTTATAGGATGGCTGAATATTAATATGGACAGATGATAAAATTAAGTATTTTTGATCAAAATTAATAATTAAAAAAAAATATAAAACTTAAAATATGGTAACATTAATTTATCATACAGATATATTTCAATATACATTTCATGCTGTAAGCTATTATTAAAACATAGAATTTCAAAACTTTTTCTCAACTTCTCATGTTTTAGGGTTACATAGTTCTTGCATATTTTTTTTTAATTAATGATTTGGGGTACAAATCTCACGACTTTTAGAAATCTTTAAAGCGTGAATGTAATTGCACAATCCAAGGAAATACATTATGAATGGTTATAACTTTTAATCTAAATGTGGACATTCACATCTTTATAGTAAAGTAGCAATAATTTGTTGCAATTTTCTTAACAGGCAAATCCTTAAATTATTTAACACTAATTTTTTATGAAGATTTTGGTGATCCAGACTGAATAAAATCACTGTAATTATTTCTTGGAATGTAAATTACATTTTAATATAATGAAAATACTTAGCAATATAGTTTTTATTATGTTGGAATTAAGTTGTGTTGATATACTAATCAAAAACATGTTAATTTTTAGGCTATATCCAAATAAATAAATAAGACGTATGTACTGTACATATAAAGGACTCCAATGTTAAATTTTCAATTTTTAGAAAAGCTCAGAAAAGAATAAAATAGACTTAAGCCATCAGATGGATTGAGTAAAACCTTAATAATCAAAATATTGTGCAGCAATGTTTTCTTGTTAGTATAATGCATAACCACATGATTACATGGACATGTAGATATTTCAGTTTTGAAAACAATTATATACAGTGAGGTACGTATGTAGGTGCATATACAACAGTAAATGTGGATCTAAATTTGAGAAAAGAATTTCTTGAAAATTAAATGCATCAAAACAAAATTAACATACTACATTCTGTGCATGTGATTTGAGTTTAAAGTTTAAAGATAAATATTTGTGTACATGATAGAACAGAGTGACATATAATGATGGACATATAGTTTAACAGTCTTCATCCACCTGTGGTGCTCTAAAGATGAGTTATTTCAACTTGCTAGCACATCTTCCTCAAAACCACAAAATGTATGTACTTTAATAAGAGTACTAGAGTTTCATTTTGATAAGCTTTAGCTAAACTTTAAACCTAGAAATAGAATTACTAATGGGGTCCATAACTATTGGTTTTTTAAACATGTCTTAATAAGATATGAATCATGCAAAAAGCTGCACACAGCTATATCACCAATATTATAATTAACCACATTATGAGAAATCATGCATTTCTACCTTTTTTATCACTTCTTTACACAACACTGTTCAATAAGATGCAATATATGTATCACACCAATAGAGAATGCTATAAAAATAAGTTTGTAATTTCAGAGTTGGTGCCACTCGATGTGAAAATTTACATCTAAACACTAAAAAGACTTTATAATATACAACTTACTTATAGAAGTTGACATTCTAGAGCATTTATTTATAAAATGAGAACTATTCCAATATTATTAGAGGAGGGATATCTTTTAACCTTTTTGGCACTGAATAAAAATATAATACTGACATCAGTGCTGAATATATCTTCCACAAAGATGAAAAAAAACAACACTACTTCACATATTTGAAAAGCAATTATAGCAAAACTACACAAGATATCATCACAAAGGTTGTAGTGCTGGCTTTCTGGCTCTTCTTCTTCCCCTTCCACATCCTCTGTCTATGATGCCGTGGTGTTTAAGCACACTGCTTCATTAGCTCTGAATACTTGCATCTGTGATGTGGATGCCATTTTGAAATGTCCAAAATATTATGGAATTTTATAATTTTTTCTCAGTTGGTATCTTTGTGATTACTAGCAATAACTGGCATTATTTTTCAACTAAAACTACATAGGGGATTTCCTAATACATTTATTGTCATTCACTAGGGGGATACTTGGTATTACAAAATGAAATGACACAATATATTTTAGCCAAACAGGCAAGGGGTCATCATGTCAACAAGTGTTCCCAACTGTGCCCCGTTTACATGTCAACTTTAGTTGCTATCTGCATCATAAGAGTTAAAAGCAGAAAATTTTTTCAAACTATAACAATAAACCAAATGAAATTGTATTCATAAAAAATTCAGTATTATACAATTATGTAAAAAAGAATATTATTTATTGCCTAGTGTCCATTCACTAGATCTTTTTTAAATTCAAAAATACATTTTTGAGTTTTATTTTATTGACATAAAATACACAAAATTAGCTTACAAAATTTTCAATGAACATTAGAAATTACATAAATCAAGAGAAAAAGCAAGCATTATAATTAATATTTATACAGTTAACAAGGTACTTCAGTATAATTTCCATACTCATATACATGAGAAGCTGTTTCTATGTTTATAATATTTACTGTAATTGACTGTATGCTCTGCATATTTAGTAATATTCCACACATATATGAGTAAAGATTGTTTTTAGATTTATACAATAAATTGAAATTTTCTTCTTAAAATGTCAGTAATAAACTTGTTGGTGTATATATATACAGATAATATGTATACATACTCCACTAATAAGTTATGCTGATTTGATACATTAATTTTCATTTTCATGTTATTTATTTGTTCTGAAGTTACAATACAGGATTAGAGTAAGCAGTAAAAATAAATGATACCATCAGTTCAGCCATAAATCTGTTACATGCTTATGACTACCAAAAAAAAATTTCAGTTCATCAAGATATAATAAGCTTATCCAAGCACAAGTGTAGGAGTGGAATAATGCATCTAGTGTTTGATAATAAAAGCTTTAGTAATAATGCGATAAGAAAGGAAAAAAAAAGGGGGGGGGGACCAGTAATTAAGAAAAGCAGGGAAACTTGCATTAACCAAAACATTTACATTTTCCTGTATTTTTGCACTAAGAACTCGGCTCAGGGATTATATTATTAAATAATAAACAGATGAAATATAAATAACTAAACATTATCTTAATATAAATGCTTAATGCTAAATGTATTAATTTTCAAAATTAGATCAATACAAAGCACACTAAACTTTTTTATTTCCAAGGCAAGATCAATTTAATTAACAGACATTAAAATTAATTACAGAAGTATTATTTATCAGAATGGTTAATTTCAAATATCAGTAGCCATAACAACAGGCTATTAATTTGCAATGATTTTCAAGGGCTGTATGAACCATATACATGTACCGACAGTGAGCACTTATATTCCATGACTAACATAATATTCCATATGTTTAATATAATAATATTTTCTGACTTCCATATGTATTTATTCATTAAAAGTTATTTATATACATAGCTTACAAATTCATTCAAAATTTAGGAGTGTACATGTAGATCTAACCTGAGTACTCATCATTTAATGATATGGAATATTACTCTTTGTTACGTATCTGCTTGTTTGATAATTTCCCGTAAAAATTCTCTCCGAAAAACTTCAGCGACACAAGTCCTTTCTTAATTAAAACTATTCTTTATCGTCACAAACTGTGTAATACACTTAATTTCCACAGTCACTTTAACTTCAACACAAGCTACAATTCACAACGATTCACGCACTTTACTTCCGGTCACTACCACTCGCTTGACTCAATTATCTGTCTTTATATCTGTCTATCTGCCATTATATCTCCGCTTTATTTGCC